TTTGATGTGTTGAATTATTAAACCTAACGTTTGCTCACTGCTTAGTTTAGCGAATGTAAACTCAGCAGAGCTGGATGGGAAATTATCATGTCACACTAGCAAACACATGAAAATGACAGACTTTGTCACGTTTAATTTTATTTTGGGCAAACCTCCAGTGTTCCCACATCTAAAATTATGGACGTAGGTGAAAAACGTTACTGTCTGCGAGTAGACTATGCCACTGTTTGGCAACGATCTGAAGTTCCGAAGTGATCATGGAAATAACCTTTTCATTATTTATGAAGCCAGAGAAGACTGTTCAAAGTTTCAGTCTTTTTTACAGAACCCTTGATAATGCCTTTATAATGTATGTGTTCCTGTTGAAGCTGGCACAGATCCTTCTATGGGAAATGCAAAAATGATAGCCGGGAATCACATTTATGCTTGAGAAACAGTGTATTTCAAAGTTCAGTACTAACCACTCTGGTTGTACAATAATTATGCTATATATCTACAAGAGACCTTCTTACTAATAGACAGAGTCACTTGAGTTTAACACAGATGTCTGTAAACATGAAGATAGAATTCAGCTGTTCCATGGTAACCACTAGTGTAAGGGCAAACTAAAAAGTTACTTTGAAAAGGCAAAAGTGTAGAATGGATGGAACATTTCAGGAACACTTAAGTTGAAAATGAAAACTACTGTACAGTATATGTGTAATCTTTCTGTATTTATATTTAATTTGTATTTGATTTATATGTGAATTGATTTCTTTTTTTTAATATGCTAAATTGGACACATGAGCTTAAACAATGACCCGCATCAACTAGCCTACTTTCTGCGGGCAACAGTACTCCTGAACTGAGTGGCACTCACAGGTCATTACATGAGTGCCAATTAGTCCAAGAGGAGGCATTGCCAAAGTTGAAGAGGAAGGACCTGTCACAGAAGGCTACAGAAAATACTTATGTATAGGGTGTTTTTTGAGAAAATGGAACCAAGGAGGGGAGGGAGGGTGGTGTAAAGCTGAAGGTGTTATCAGGTTTTTATCACTGACTGTGTCCGTGCTAACAAGATTCACCCTCATAATGTCCTGACGACCATTGTACCAGGACTAAAAATGGGAAATCTAAAATTATGCACTTGTCACTGGAAACGAGTTAAGAATTTTGTTTCCAGCGGTAGCTGTCTAACGTTGGGGTTTCCGCAACAGCTGTCTAACATTGGGGAGATTGAGCCGTATGATTCACACAAGGACTACAGTCTATAGTTATGTATCCAGGAACTTTCTGAGGTGCATTAGGCCACCTCAGTCCCTTTATTTGGTAATTGGATGATTTGGGGTATAATTTTCATTACCTGCCAAAGTGGTGTTCCCAAAACACCCCGTGATTTCACTTGACTTCACGGCTATGCTTCATCCCTCTGTTAAGTGAGAGTGCAGATCCCTAGGGAAGTTTCGCTGGGCAGCTGAATAAAGTCTAGCCAGGCATAACAAACAAGTCAGTCATGAAGCCCTGGGGAATATGACGATTTTTTATGTTACACCCTTAATATTGTTGAAACATGAAACATTGTCTGAAAGGTGGAGTATGCTTTTAAGGTGCTCACACACATTAGATGACAGTCATGCAGCTATTTTTGGCCAGGTTGGCCAATGATCCAGTGTTTGAGGAGCAGTACACAACAGCCCTGAATTAGTATTCTCAGGGAGCAAAGCAACTGGTTGCTTGGTGACTAGTGTGTTCCTGCTTAGAGAAGACACTGACCCATAAGATATTGTGAGACATGGATACAGAATCCAACCATTATCTAATGTCCTTGGCTAGCTTTGGCCTCTTCAGCTGCACTCCTGTTCTAAGTGTCCCAGTATTTGTCACATTACTATCAATAGAGAGATCTAGGTGAAGCATTGTTTGAAGGATAACTAAGTACTTAATTTCCCTTTTCACTGTATATAAATATTGTATGTCTATACTATATTTCACCACAGACCTAAAAACAGAGAATACGTTTTCATTTATTTAGGATTCATAAAGATTTGTAGTTTATTTTTTTCATACTGAAGAACAAATCACATCAGCTTATTCTTGGCCGTAATTGGCAGCCTGAAGAGGGCAGCAACATTGTTTTATTACTCCAATGTTTGAGAACAAGACATTTTTTTTTCTGTTAACCTCGTTTAACTGAAACATGCATCATTTAATGTTCGCAGAACAATTATATAAGGGAAATGTGCGCAAATATTTCCAAACAAAGCCCTTTTTTTTTTACAGGGTTTCCTTAAAACAGGAAGTTGAGTGTCACTTACATCTACAATTTATGTGGATAACTAAAGATGCAGACATTGCAGCGAGCAATAAAAGCTTTTATCTGAGAGGCTAGGTGTCAGTTGTTTAGACTGGGTTGCTTGTTCATGTAATTAATAAAGAGGATCAATGATGTGTTATTCATGTGAATATGTTATTATTTGGATGTCTTTTCACATGCCCTTATTCTTTTCTTCTTGTTTAACTAACATCAACTCATGTGTATATATTGTGAGGGCCACAAGAGCACAATCTAAGGGTCTCTGTTTAATCCAGCCAGTACCATCTGTGATTGCAGAACCCTCATTACCATCCATCAGGAAGATGGTGTTCCCGCTATATGTTTGAGATAAGTAATCTCTATGATATTATTAGGAACAGCTATGTGTGATAAACCAAATAGTTCACCCCTTCATCATTTAAGTTATATTATCGCAGAGGCAGCCATTGTATACAGAGGGAATTTTTATTTGAACTTTCCCTAACCCTTTAACTAACCCTATAACACAACTTTATCTATAGCTAACATTTACTTGTAAGCTTAGGTAGAGTAGGAAAATGTTGAAATCCCTATCAGGTGTTTTTTTTGTTATAAATTCTTTATTTTACGTTATTTTAGTACATGTATAAAAGAAGGGTAGACAGTATTACTGAAATAACAATCTTCCCTTATTGAGTTCAGGTTCATAAAATTACCTGAGGGTACATAACACAAACAGGGTTCAACTATTATTTATTACAGGTATTTATATAGCACCAACAATGTACGCAGCAATTTACATACTACTCTTTCCCATCAATACCTGCCCTCAAGGAGATTACAATCTAAGGTCCCTATCTCACATGTTCACAGGGCCAATTTAGACAGAAGCCAACTAAACTTCCAGCATGTCTTTGGAGTGTGGGAGGAAACTGGAGGAAACCTACACAAGCACAGGGAGAACATGCAAACTCCTTGCAGATAGCATCCTGACTGGGATTTGATATGGGGGAAATGGGGACCGCCAGTCAGGGCCGGATTTCCCACAAGGCCAACCAAGGCCCGGCCTCGAGGCAGCAGGGAGTAGAGGGGCAGCAGGGGTGTGGAATTCCTATCTCCCGATGCCCGGGCATGCAGTTCCGGGCCCCGGGCAGGTAGTTGTTTTCTACATTTAGCCATGCTTTGGGCACGCAGAGGTAAATGTACAGCTGGGAAGCCACATTTGTTTTGTACAAGTGATCTCGGTGATGTCGGCGAGATCACTTGTTTGCAGCCTGCAGGTCTGCTATTCTCCATGTGGGGGGGATGGGGGGGTTGGCGTGTAGGTGGGTGCATTGAGGAACCTGACCTTGGGGCAGCAGAGAGAGTAAATCCGACCCTGCATGCGCGTTCCCAGCTGCCCTGCTGTGGCCATTCACTGTCATTGTGTTTTCGCCTCCTCCACTCTACTGCGTATGCGCATGTGCGTCCGCACACCGTCCTTCGTCAGCCAGGAGTTCTTCAGCGAGCGACGCTGGAACAGGTAAGTAATCAGGTGATTGCCTAATTTATTTTTATTTTTTTAATCATGGGGCATACTGTATATGTACTGCTTGCTAGCAGTAGATATATTCCCGAAATACTTTAATTCTACTTTATGGCTTAACTACCACATGCAGGCACACTAAGGTGCATGTACCCTTGAATATCTTCCAGAATACCCCATGCTGCCTGTTATCTAGAGAAAAATAAACATAGGTGCTGATCCATACGCTTCTGCACCTGCTTATTGGTTACTGAGGGTGCCCATCAAATTCCAGGACCAATAGTCTACATAGTAGGCAGGATTGGTCAGGCCAGTTATTGACATACTCATTCATAATTCGCATATTGAAACAGCTTCAAGTTTTTACCTTAAAGATAAGCATTGCAGCTATTGGCTCTCCATGACACTGTATACATGACCGTGAATGGTGAAAGTCAATTCTGTGGTCAGCTACTTAGGTGATTGACTTTAGGATTATGCAGTGGAAGATCAGATAAGAAAAGGTGCTGTTATAAATCCTTTTCTTACTCTTTATAGCATTCCCAAATATAATGCATTGCATCTAGAGATATAAAATATGACTTGTTAGGTGACTCTCTTATTTAGTGGCACCTATAATCCATTTCTTCGGTGAATTTTAAACCAGCAGCAGTATACAGTGGTTAGCAGTGTGTAGATTTCAAATGTGTAATGTGTCTAGAGAGTTAGTCCACTCAGCCTTTACTTACTTTGGAAGAAGTTCACATTTAGGTTTCCAGGGCAGATCTCAGATTAGTTTATATGCGAATGTAAAAAAAAATTGGAATGTGGTGAAACTTGTTAGCGCTGATGGAAAAAGAATGAAACTGAGGCGGTGGTTTTCTCATTGTGTTGCCACAGCGTGCCCTGGCTACACACTGAACAGTAACAAAAAAATCATAAAAATAATGTACAACTAAGTTGAACACAGACGTAAAAATAACAGAGTGTAATTACAAAGCGTCCAGTGTTGCGGGATGATCATAGCTTAGAAGTCGGGTCTGGTTTCATCCTTAGAGACTTGGGTTCAAGCAAATCCAAGCTTAGGTTAATGCAATATGAATTTGTTGGTCACATTAAAACCAAGCGGACATGTGCCTACATTGGAAAAACACTGCATTGTTTGGCCCCTCGTAGTATGTTTATGCAAGCCAGAAATTCAACCATCGAGAGTATTGAAGGTCACATAGATGTTGTGCTTGGAAGCCATACTAATATTTCTGCGTAAGTCATTTGCTGTTACTGACAAAGGGAAAAAGCTACGATATCTTATTAAAATAATAAAAAGTATTAGTAATTCATCCTTAAAGAGGAACTTTTTTTGTTTTGTTTACATTTAACTGTGCATAAAATATATATATATATATATATA